TCATTGTATGTTGTATGATGATTCTGTTCCCAGTAAAGTTTTACTGTATGTAAATGTTTGATGAGTGTATCTTCTCCATCTTTCTCATCACCATCACCCTCCATCTATCAACAAAAACCAAGGGATTGGGAGGGGTTGGGGTTGTTACTAMATCCCCTCCAGGATAGGAAAGTTAAGACCTTAGAAATCAGCACTGTATCTGAGGCACACCGCAGGGACAAAGTCTCAGCTCTCCATCATRGCAACCACTACAATTGATTTTAGAACATATTTTCATTCCAGAAAGAAACTCCGTAACTATAAGCAGTTACTCCCATTTCTCTCTGATCAGCAACATAAATCCACCTCTGAACATTTTATGTAAATGGAAACAAATAACATATGGCCTTTAAGTCAGGCTTCTTCTCTCAGGATAATGTTTTAGGTTCACCCAGCTATAGCTGTATCAGTATTTTGTATCCTTTTATTGCTTAATAATATTCCACTGTGTGGATACACCACATTATCTATGCATTCATCCACTGATGGACATTTGAGCTGTTTCTACTTTTTGACTTATGAATGATGCTGTGAACATTTGTGTACAAGTTTTGTGTGCAGGTCTGTTTTCTTGGAAGCTAATTTTTTGAGCTATCTAGTAGCTTCTTTATGGCTTCCTGGATGTGAAACCCTGAAACAGTTGAATTGTGGGAATCTTGCTCCTATCTTGCCTCACCTTCCTCCAGGGAACCCCGGCAGAATCTCGAGAGAAGAATCGTGAGTGTATCCTGCTGAATTTCTTTGATGACCACGACATTTGGCACTTCCTCTCTGCTACTGCCCTGTTTTTCTCATTCTTGGTGAGTTTATCATGTCTTCTCATTCTTGGTGAGTTTATCATGTCTTTTTATTGCTTTCTCTCTTTACATTCTGGTCTCTTCCACTCTTCCTTACATCCTCTTTTATATTCCTCTATAACTTCCCTTTCCAGTTCCTCATTATAATTCAACATGCAGATCATTTTCTTTTTTAAAAATATCGTATCTCAATTTTCATTTTGCTTTTACTTTTCAATAATTTTAGACACACAGAGTGACAAAATCGTCTTCCTAACTAACATAGCACATCAGGACTGACTTGGTTATTAGACTCATATGCCCAGAAGTCCCTCCAGGAACCACTTTTGGCATTCACTAAATTTCCTATAACATTGGGTTATTCCTTCTCTTCCCACTCCTCCGCTCTCACTTAATATTTTTTGAATGATTCACAGATTCCTAGAGTGGTTCAGGGCAGCCGCCAGGCCTGTGTTGCCTTCTAACCGTCTGTACCAAATCTCTGCTGTAATTCCTCTATTTTCTGCCCAAAATTCTTTCCCAGAAGCCATGCATATTTATGTCAACCTGGGATGATAGCTCCCATCATCCTCTAATCTTGTTTTTACATTTCAGAATTAAAAGTCTGTCATGCCTGCACATAGGTTCCCTTGACACCACCACTGGACTCCCAAAGCCATCCTCTTGAAGCAGTCTCAGGCTGGCCGTACTACCTCAAGAGTGGAGCCAGGCTACCCCCTAGTGTCACCTTTGGGAAGTTCATCCAATCTGTATGAATACTCTGTAGGACTTTTCTTTTTGATAGTCCTGTTCTTGAGAGAGACCGACAACGAAAAATGGAGTTAAGGATTCTATATGGGGAAAGTGGTGGCCAAAGGAACTAGAATTGGAGGAGAAGGCTCCATTTCTTATACAGCATTAATCTGTGCAAAAGACTTCATTTTCTTTAAGTCTTGACCTAAATGTTACCTTCTAAGTGACTTCCCAGGCCACCCTGTAAAAATTTGCCACACCCAATCCCACATGTCYTATATTCCCTAGTTTAATTTTCATTCTTAGCTCATATAGCTTTCTAAAATACTGTGTTTTACCCATGCATTTGTTTAATGTCGAAAGCCATCTCTTGGATGAAAACTCCATGAGGGTGGGATATTTCTCTTTTACTCCAACTACATCTTCAGCATCTAGAATAACACATAATAAATTCTCATGACTATKTGAATTAATTAACAAATGAACTATATTGTTATAATAAGTGCTTGTTATGAGCAAGACATTGCAGGAGCCACAGAGGATAGGAAAACAATTCASGAAACAGAGTTTTTACTCTGTGGGAATCACAAAGTAGGGATGTGGTGTGGCTGTGAATAAGCATTCTTTTCATTTCTCTGTCGYTCTCATCTCAGGTTTTGTTAACTCTGGATGATGACCTGGATGTGGTTCGGAGAGACCAGATCCCTGTATTCTGAGCCTCCAGCATAAAGAGGGGGACAACAAATGATCCATCTTGGTGCTGATTCTTGAAGAAYACAATGACTACAGCAACGAACCCACTGCCAAACACTCCACTCGTCTCTGTGGAGTCAACTCTCATTCACACAGGAAGGAGAGGAGCTGGGGCAGAGCTACACCCTGTAAGAAGGGAGGCAGAAAAAAAGCCACAACTGCAGACAGAGGCAAACCCTGAGAAGCTCAGAAGCACCTAACCTGCATTGTCAACTCAGAAAGTTAGACGTGGACAAAAGCTGCATGACAGTCAACTCACTGTCTGGGACCCTCCCACTCTCACCTGACATTTATCAGAACATGGCTGCATACTTCCCTGGGCCAYGGGAATGTCCAGAAAGACCAGCAGCTTGGATTTCCTGCCCAGAAACCTTGGTGTGGCCTTCGCACCTCTGTGATTCCCACTGCCTATAGGTCCAAAGCACCATCTCATTTCTGCAAGGTCCTGTGAAATCGTGATTTCTCACTGTACTGTGGAGAGGGTGCAGAGGTGGACCAAACCCCCACCCAGCTGGTAGCCCAGCTAGTCATCTCCTCAGAAGGAACACTGAATGTTCCCCCAGGCTCCTGACACCATGAGGACTCAGGATTGGACACTGTCACACACTCTTCTGAAYAGGAAACTATCACTGGGACCAATGCCTGGGTGCTTATCTATTCTCAGTGTCTTAATCTCACTGCTGTGTTGATCCTTTACTCTGGCTCCACCTTCTTGGAAAGACCTTGTTACTCCTTAAACCCACTTATCTTAAAATGGGAAGAGAAATGGGAAATTTTCTTCTGGCAGTAGGAGGAGCAGGAAAAAATCACTCACAGAACTAAGAGACTGGAAACATCAAGCAGACAGGCTTTGCCTTGTGAACTGGGGCTACTGGAGAAAATCCAGTGAAGCAACAGTATTTGCTCAGCCTCCAGTTCATACAGATCAGTGATGTGCCCACATGACCTTTGGCAGAGAAATAACTGTTCTAACCAGGGGCATCACTCTATGGGCCTCCACAGCTGAGCCCCTCCGCTTGCATGATCAGAATTCCAGATTTTCTCCCTGAAGTTCTCAGAAGTTACTCAGGATGAACACATTTTCCTCTGCCTCTCTGGTTGCAAAGAGTACAGCTAATGGAACATTGTGTCTTTTTGCACCTGACCCTCCCCAGCATGGTGTTGAAAAGCTTAGCATTCTGGTTCCCTTCTCACATTGTCTGGCAGCTGTGCCTCTGAGAAGTCCCATTTTGACAGAACATCTGGTTGCCAGGAGTATGATRTAATCAGAAAATAGACATACAAATGTATGCACACATACGTGTTTGCTTGTGAAATTGAAATCACTTCTCATCTCTACTTTCCTAGTCATTCATTAGAGAAGTAGATTGGACATTCTCCTTTAAAATTTTTTTCCTCTCAAATATTTGCATACTGTTCAAAAAAAGATACTTTGCAAGTTTGAACAGTAAGCTTTTCCTAAATTTTAAAAACACAAATGTGCTTTCTGTGAAATATTTTATGTGCTTTTTCTAAAAATCTCCTAAATTTGTAATTGATCTTCTGTTATTCTTTATTCCTTAAAAATTATTGGTTTCCATAGGTCACACGGAGGCCACCAATGAAATGGTTGGGTCAATCTAACATGTAAAAAAATTTTTGAACCTATTTCACTATGACTGACTTGGCATAATTCTTTTAAGGMGCTCAAAGGAGACACTAAAGATATGAACAACAAAGTCCACCCAAGTAAATAAATGTCTCCAGAAGCTTGTTTGGGAAAAACATCAGTGAAAATGGGGAGGGCCCCGGCAGAAAGGGGTGGACTGTTCCTTGCTGTGTTCTGTTAATGTCTGTCTTGTGCAATCAAGTCACACACTGTAGTCAGTTTTGTTCTCTGCAGCAGGACTAAAAACCCAGACTAAGTCTGCTTTTATAAATATAAATTCTAAGTGTACGTGTTGCTAATTCTTTCTATAGCACCAATCTTGTGGTTGGAGGACATAAGAAAGTCATGGAGCTGCATCTGTGGGATTCATATGAGTGCTGGGTAGAAGGGAGCAGCCAGAACTTAGTAGTTTCATGATATATCTTTGGTAGGTAGCACAGTGCCTATGCTAACGTCTGCCTATGCTCATAGACTTAGCTTTTCAAAACCAAAAGCAAGGTTAATTCTGGAGGCCAAGTTCAGCGGGAGGTTAACTGAGAAAGCAGTAACTGTGAAGATGATCTTGGCAAAGCAACCCCAGAAAGAATAAGAGCAGTTTAACTGGAGCGGGTCAGAGTTGTGGCAGCCAGAGGGTAAAAAATGACCTCTTCACACCTCTGACAAATGGGGCTAGAGAGGCAGCCCCACCTGTTATGCTGGATGGCTGAGGGATTAGCCTGGTTTTATTTTAGCAGCAAGACAAGCCAGTGGAAAACCAGAGACTAACTGGGGAAGGGACTTTCCATGACTGAAGGTTATCCCTGAGCCAGCTACTTGGGGCAAATAGTGGCAGCTGCTTACTTTGTACCTCCAAGCATCAACCAGAAAATTCTTGTAGGGTCCCAAAATACATGTCTCAGCAAATCAACACTCACATTTCTCATTCTGGATGCTGGTCTATCTGAACTGCACCGTTCTGGCAGTGCAAGCTACATAGGTTCTGTCTGTGTTCTGGTTGTGTAATGAAAGTGTAAACCTAGTCACAGCTGCTCCACATACAGAAGCAGAAGGGAGTGAGCATGCAGACAGCCTGCCTGCTCACAGAGCCGGGCCACTCACCTCAGAACATCTCAGAACACGGTAAGAAGAAAGCAGAGAGAGCATTCCTGTTACCAGAGACAAAATATATACCCCAATGGCATGCCCGCAGTGACCTTCRTAACTTCAGCCACACCCTAACTGCCTCCAGTTACCACCCATCTAATCCATTGAAGTGGATTAATGTGCTGATTCAGTTAAGGCTCTGTAACCCAATCCTTTTGCCTCTGAACTTTCTTGGATTTTCTCACATGAGTTTATTAGGGGATACCTCATATCTAACCATAACAGACTGGTTTGTGACAAAGAGGGAAAGATAGCTTTTGAGTGATGAAAATAGAGGTAAGCTAGAAGGAAAAGAAAATTGATTAAGTTCATGGAAATCCATGCGTGGTAGTGTTGGTGACACATGATGAATGGAAGCCTACAGAGCATCATTTTAGTGAGAACTCTGGAAAAAGAGTTAAGGAAGGATGATAGGACCAAAGAGGAGGGCCAAACTTCTGATGTGGTGGGTTTATTTTTGTTTGTTTTCAGATAGACTGATAGCAAAAAGAAAAAGACCTTTGGGTCCACTTGAGCTGAGACTACAAAGACAACTGCAGCTACTACAAGAGGTATTTTATTTAAAAAAAATATTCTTTCAGTTGTAAATGGACACGATATCTTTATTTATTTATTTATTTATTTTTATGTGGTGCTGAGGATCGAACCCAGTGCCTCACATGTGTGAGGCAGGCACTTTACCACTGAGCTACAGCCCCAGCTCTATAATAAGTATTTTAAAACATCATACTTGGACTAACAGGCAAGCTGACACCCCTCAGGACTTATATGGGGAGAAGAAAAGCTGTCGGTCTGGATAAAGACAGAGAAGCAAAAACATAAGAGATATTTGGAACTGGAAACCTCAAACATTTCATAAGAAAAATACAAGTCCCAGTTTTAACCACAGCAAAGAATTGAAATCTGAAGAGAAAGATAAGATGGTTGGGGTGGGGATCATTTTAATCCATCCTTGAAGAAATAAAACAGAAGAAATAAAACAGTCTCCCAAACTCTCAGAAAACCCCTCCCTGATGGGAGGACAATCATGGAATTGAAGTTCTCAATTTGTACTTTTAGTGTGATTTTACCATTGGCCACTACTACCCTCAGTTCCCATCTCCAACCCCTAGAATATGAAAGTCAGCAGAATTGATTATTAAAACAGCAAATACTCAATCATTATGCACTCTGTCAAGGGTTTTTACCTACATTGCAAATCTCATCATGAAAGCCCCCTAAGAAGTTAGGACTCTTACATTATCCCCATTTCCTAAATGGAGAAACTGAAATTTAGAGAAGTCACTGTTTGCTAGGTAAAGTGAATGGTGCAGAACTCTGATAAGTAATCAAAGTGAGTAGTTCAGGTTCCAACCAGAGAAAAGGAAGACAGAAGTGCTGTAATGAGCATTCAACAGTTTATCTGTGCAGATACATAGGGGCAAAACACAGCCTAGAATTATATAACTATTCAACATATTAACAAAAAGAGAATGTTTTTTCCAAAATTCAGAAGATCTGTGATTATCATATAATTCCAAGTAACAATGAAATTTACAGTGCTTTTGGAAAGCCATCTAATACAGCTACAGCACGGCTTTGGATCTGTTAGTCTCTCTAAACTGGAACAGCTGGATTCCTGTGAGGGCTGTTGCATCATTTTCTGGGCTTGTTAAGAACCAAAGTCCTGCACTTGGCAAAGTAGACCCAAAGATTCATTTTAAATTAAAATACACATCCCAGTAAAGTGTCAGGTTACCACTAGGAGCCCATTGGTTCAAAATCAAAAATTTAAATAAAGAGAAAGCAAAGGAATGTAGTAGGCTTTTTCAGTTTCTAAAAAAACATTCAGAGACTCAAAAAATCTTCAAGTGTCCAGAAGTCCTCCAAATCTACCTCTGAAACTGGCCTCTACTGGCCTGAGTTGAGGGCCAAATCTTCAACTCGCTTCAGTGGTTCAACCATCTTTGTTCTTGGTCCTGGGCCCAGAACTTTCCTCTTGGAAGGAGTAGATTCATCACAGTCAAATTTAGGCAGACAAAGTAGTTGCATTGAACTAGGGAATCATATTTCTTCATTTGAAGTACAGTGAGAATAGTGAGAAATGTTTCTGTTTGTTCAAAAACAAAAAAAATAAGAAAGTGACACAAGTTGTTAGAAACAAGAACACGCTAACCAATTTTCTTCTGTGCAGAGATAGATGTCTGTTGAACTTTTTATTTTGAATATGAATTTTCAAATTTACCCCACAGCATCATTCAAAAGAATGGGACCTAAGGGCTGAGGATACAGCTCAGTTGGTAGTCACATGCACAAAGCCCTGGGTTCAATTCCCAGCACCACAAAAAAAAAAAAGGGACCTAAACTAATTGAATCCGGAATTCCCAGAAAACACCCTGAAGCAAGAAATTCTCCATGATGATAATCTTGACTGCAGCCTCTTTCCAGACTACAGCCTGGAAATGTGATCCACTCAGCCATGTGAGCCATTGCTGAAGGTGATAAAGCAATATAAGAAAACACTTCAAACAGCTAAACCCACACTGCACAAACTTAGCTAAAAGCGGTATTTCCATAACTTCCCTTAATTCTGTAGCTTATCTGAATGTGTGAAAAATTAAGTGTCACACTGACACTAATTAGCCACCCTACCTGACTTTTGAATCTATCTATCAAGCAGACTAACATCTCCTTAATTTCTCACAGGAAGAAGAAATAGTCTAAGCATCTGTTGACACTGACCAGCTAAATATATCCTAATGGAGATCCTCATTTCAGTCTTCTATGTGGGGAGGGTGGCGTGAGGAAGGCCGTGGAAAGTAATTTYCATATGCATTAAATATTACTTTGCAATGATTTAGAAACACTTTCAAATGTAACACTTCATTTGTCCTTTATAACACCCTGTGTGAAAGGMAGGACTGGTAATAACAACAATAAACAGTTAAGGACACTAATAAGCTAGACATGAAGAAGTTGTGCCACTTGCCTGAAGTCTCAGCCAGGTAACAAGGGAGATTCGTATAAAAAGTGCCAAGATCTTGTCTTTTCGAAAGAATGACAGTAAAGCTGGGGATGTAGCTCAGAGGTAAAGCACTTGTCTAGCATGTGCAAGTCCCTGGGTTTGAACCCCAGCAGTGAAAAAAAGATAGAAAAATAACTTTAGATTTTGCTGAATCAAAGGAAATTTATCAAGATAAACAACCAATGTTAGTTCAAATTCCATAGTTTTTCCTTAACTTTTTAAAAAATATTTATTGGACACAATATCTTTATTTTATTTTTAAGTTGTGCTAAGAATCAAACCCAGTGCCTCACACATGCCAGGTGAGCGTGCTACCACTTGAGCCACATCCTGAGCCCCCCTTAACTTTTTTAAATATAAAATATATTTAGTAATGGATTGAGTATAAGATATATTCAGTAATGTACAAAATGTACACTCATCTTAAGTGGATATAGATCAATGGGTTTTACATACACATGTAAATATCCATGAACACAAATGTACACACACCTACGTATGTAACCGCTACCCAGATGCAAGACATTTTCGGCATCCTCAGACCTGTTCTAAGTTCATCTCTGTCCCACAGATAATCAATATTCTGACTTTCTCACATTGATTTTTTAAAATCTGCTTTTGAAGTTCAAATAAATGGGATCATGCAGGATAAACTCCTCTTTGTCTGGCTTCTTCACTCAATAGGACATCTGCAAGATCTGTCTGCGTGAAGCGGTAGTGTCATTTTGTGATCATGTGACATTTTATTATATATTCTCCTACTGATAGGCATTGAGTTTCCAGTTTTGGGGATATTGTAAAGAAAGTTGCTCTGACCATTCTTACATGTACTTTGGTGAACTTCTCCCACGGATATATTCTCAAGTCACTATGGAACTGCTGGGTTAGAGGGCAGATGTCTTTATTAGTAAAGAATACTACCAATAATCTTCCGAAGTAGTTTGACCAGATTTGCATTCCCRTCAGCACTGTGTGAGAGCTCCAGTTTTTCCACATCTTTGCCAACTCCTAGCATTTATCATTCAGCCTCTCAAAGTGACAACAAAGTGGTACCTCATCATATTTTACTTTGCCTTTATCTGATGACTAATGATGTTGAACATCTTTTCATAGACTTCTTGGGTATCTGTGTGAGGGATTCATTCAAGTTCTTTGCCAATTTAAAAAATCAGTTTGGGAATATTTTAGATATGTATAATCTTTGATAGTCTGTGTCTCTCTTTTTTAAAAATTGTTACAATAGACTTTTTCTATTTTTTAAAAAAATTTTAATATTTATTTTTCAGTTTTCGGCGGACACAACATCTTTGTGGTGCTGAGGATCGAACCCGGGCCTCACGCATGCCAGGCGAGCGCTTTACARCTTGAGCCACATCCCCAGCCCATTATTTTTTTATTTTTTTAATTGATTTTTAAAAAAATAATGACAGCGGAATGCATTACAATTCTTATTATACATACACAGCACAATTTTTCATAGCTTTAGTTGTATTTAAAGTATGTTGACACCAATTCGCATCTTCATACATGTATTTTGGATGATGATGTCCATCACGTTCCACCATTCTTGCTACTCCCCTGCCTCCTCCCTTTTCCTCTCACCTCCTTCCCTATCTAGAGTTCATCTACTCCTCCCATGCTTCCCCTCCCTATTCCACTATGAGTCAGCCTCTCTATATCAGAGAAAACATAGTCTGTGTCTTGATGAAGAGAAATTCTTAATTTTAATGAAGTCTAAGATAATAATTTTTTTCTATTATGGTTATAGTCAGAGATTTTCTCTAGTTTTTTTTTTTCAAATTCTAGTTCTCAAAATGTTTCATCTTAGGACCAATTTACACCCTTAAAAATTATTGAGAACCTCAAAAGAGTTTTTGTGAATTTACCTAGTAACATTTACCATATTAGAAATAAACATAGAGGGCTGGGGTTGTAGCTCAGTAGTTGAGCACTTGCCTAGCATGTGTGAGGCACTGGGTTCTATTCTCAGCACCACAAACATGTAAATAAAAATAGCTCTTCCGGTCTCAACCGTTCCAGGAGCTGCGGCCCAGGGTGCAGACATGGCCAAGTCCAAGAACCACACCACACACAACCAGTCCCGAAAATGGCACAGAAATGGCATCAAGAAACCCCGATCACAAAGATATAAATCTCTTAAGGGGGTAGACCTCAAGTTCCTGAGAAATATGCATTTTGCCAAGAAGCACAATAAGAAGGGCCTGAAAAAAATTCAGGCAAACAACACCAAGGCCATGAGTGCTCATGCCAAGGCTATCAAGGCCCTTGCAAAGCCAAAGGAAGTTAAGCTCAAGATGCCAAAGGGTGACAGCCGCAAGCTTGATCGCTTTGCCTTGCTAGCCCATCTCAAGCATGGGAAGCATGCTTATGCCCACATGGCCAGGGATCACAGGCTCAGCTGGCCAAAGGCCAAAGGCCAAAGCCCAAGCCAAGACCCAGGCTGCAACTCCAGCTCCAGTATCAGCTCCAGCTCCAGYWYCRGCTCCGGCTCCAGCTCCRGCTCCGGCTCCAGCTCCTGATCCCAAAGGTGACCCCAAGGGTGCTCAGGTCCCTGCAAAGGCTCCATAATAAAAGCCTCTGGGACTGGTGTGACCCCTGAGCCCCTGTCTATGGGAACTGGTGTCCTCCTGTGCTATTTGTACAAATAAATCCAGAGGCAGGAAAAATAAATAAGTAAATAAATTAATTAATTAATTAATTAAAGGGCCATTATAACTAAAAAAAAAAATTTAAAAAAGAAATAAACATGGAAAAATTATAAATATCTATTAACTTAGTTTAAATTAATAAACCACCATATAACACAAATATATTTTTTCTAAGAATAACTATATTTTCTAAAAAAAATTGTAAGAATAGTGGCATTGTTTTACATTTTTATAATTATTTAATATCTGGCTTAGTGATAGCCGAATTCTCATGGGTTTCTGCATTTGCTCTGCTATAATATGTGTTTTGCTTATATATATAAAGTCTGATCTCACAGAAATGTATAATTGGAAAGAAAAGAGCATTTTAGTGGACTTTTCAGATAACTACTGATATTTTTATTTGATACTACACCAAAACAATATGGAATTTGAAACCATATCAGTGAACTTTTCATGTTTTATTACATTGAAACCCATTGATCTATGTTGCACTTGAACTCATCTTTTTACCACTGTGTGATTGTGTAATAGTATACCTAGGCCTTCTGGAAAATATTGGTTTACTGAATATTGCAGTGTAATAGTATACCTAGGCCTTCTGGAAAATATTGGTTTACYGAATACTGCAAACCCTCCAAACATTTACATGTTTTATTATTTGATTGTTAATACACAATATGTGTGTATAATATGTTGTTAATCATAATATATGTATTATGTATTAATATCACCATTGACCTCATCTGAGAAGCCTTAGTGGAACCTGTCAATCTCACAGTGGCCTTTTTWTATATATATATTTATATTTTGGTTGTAACTGGACGCAATGTCTTTATTTTATTTATTTATTTTTATGTGGTGCTGAGGATCGAACCCAGGGCCTCTCACGTGCTAGGTGAGTGCTCTACCACTGAGCCACAATCCCAGTCCCTCACAGTGGTCTTTATTTGTGCCAAAGTACCAGAAGTTTTAACCACCGTGGCTTTTGCACCATTAGTGCAAATGATTGTCAACACAACGTATAGGCTTATCACAGAGTACCATCATGAAAATATTTTTGGCTCCACAAGAACCCTAAAAGGGTTTTTTAAAAACCCCAGAAATTCTGAAGACCATATTTAAGAACCACTGTTCTAGAAATTTTAATGTTTTACCATCACTATTAGGTTTATGACCCACCTCAAATTAATTTTTTGCATATGGTAGGGAGTTGGGGTCTAGACTTTTTCCCTCTCTATGCAGATATCTAGTGATTCCAGCCCAATTTATTAAAAAAAAAAACTATTCTTTACTCACTGAAGTGCAATGATACCTTTGTCATTAATCCAGTGAGTATGTGAGTCATCTATTTTTGAAATTTCTGTTGCCTTCCTTTGCCTACTGTATCCATCACCAATATCACATTGTTTTAGTTAATAAAACTTTACAATAATGTTCTGTAATTTAAGTCTTTCCACTTTGTTATTGTCTGATTAAGTCTTTTTCTAATTTTATTTTTTAAGATGGTCTAGATTATACATTTACAGTTATATGGTTATTATATTACATATTATATAAATTTTAGGACCAATTTACCAATTTCTGTGTTAATTCCTTTGCTGTGATAAAAATACCTGTCAAGAACAACTTAGAGAAGGAGAAAAAGTTTATTTTGGCTCATGGTTGTAGTAGTTTAGTCCACGGTAGGCTGACTCCATTACTCTAAGCCCAAGATGAGACAGAACATCATGGCAGAGGAGCACTGCTCCCCTCATGGCAGCCAGGAAGCAGACAGAGAAAGGAAAAGGGGCTTCAGAGAAGATGAACCCTTCCAGGCCTCGCCCCTACTGACCCACCTCCTCCAGCAACACCCACCTGCCTACAGTTATCACCCAGTTAGTCCCTTCAAACTAAGATGGACTGATTATAACTCTCACAATCTAATCATTTTACCTCTGAATATTCCTGCATTAATGTAGTATGGCGGGGGGCTTCACATCTAAGCCATAACAGTTTCTAGCCAAAAAATAATTTTTTCTGCAGTGATTTAATTGTAATTGCATGAATATGTAGATAAATTTGAGCAGAATTAACATCTTAGTGACATTATATCACCTTGATATCTTTTGAG